CCTGAAAACACAGTCCCATCATCATCATTACTCCGATAGGAAGTAGCAGTGCATGTTCTTGCTACCTGGACCAGTGGGAGCTCACAGCGGATCACTGTGCTTTGTCTGCTGTGCTGAACGCAGTGCGACCAGGGCGGTTTTTAGTCTTTCTCTTTATTCCAACCTGAGTACGTTTTTGTTTAAAAAAAATAACATCTATTTTTAAAGACTCATTTTTTAGCTTTGGTTTCTGAAGAGTCATTCCTAAAGAAGTCCTCTCAACGTTGTCCCCTTGCTTGAGTCCCAGACCCACATGCTGATGCGCAGTGCTATTAGTCAGTTACAGGAGTTCTCATGACACAGGCATTACATGCTCACTGCTCACTGAAGGAGGGGCAGTTCGAGCCCACCAGTTGCCCTATGGGAGAAAGATGTGACTGTCGGCTACCATAAAGATTTAAGGCATTGGAAAGCTTACTCCTACTCCGTACATGGGGTCCCTATGAATTGAAAATCGATGCATCAACACCTAAGAGTGACAATTCTCTACTTAGCCTATGGGAAATAAGATAGATGGTGTCCATAAATGACTAATTATTTTTGTTTCATGCAATAAGCAGGCTTCTGTTTTTCAACAGGAAGCCAGAAGGAAATAAGAAAAAGGGAACTTAAGGAAATAATTAAGGGGCAGACTGAAGATTACTAAAAGGAAAACGAAGGCCGTTGAGTGACTTTGTCTAAAGACGCTTCTGGTGGAGGCTAGTAATCAGGCAAGGCTTTAGTTCTTATTCTGAAATTAGAGGGGGGTTTTGCCCAACAAGCCAAATACACAGAGCCATTCTCACCTGTGTGCACATTCCTAGCAACCACCAAAGGTGTCCACACTCAAAGTTGGTAGTAAACTTCTGTCAGCAAATGCTTGTTGCCTCTGACACTTCACGGCCTATGAGAGCAGGTCAGACCATGTTGAGGGAGACGCTCTAAAAGTACCAAACTCACGGCCCTCCAGTCATCTCCGACTCATAGCGACCTATACGACAGGATAGAACTGTCCTTGTGCATTCCAAGACTGTCATTCTTCCTGGGAGTAAAAAGCCCCATGTTTCTCCCACAGAAAGTGGTGATTTTGAATGGTTGACTATACAGGTAGCAGCCCAACGTGTGACCACTGTGCCACGTGGGCTCCTTGAGATGGCTCTGGCTTCTTGCTAGATTCCCTGGAATGCTCCTGGGTTATAAAGATGCCATGGCAGGTCTCTTGGTGAATGTAAGGGATTTGCATTCCTTTTGTTTGAAGGGTTCCTGATTGTTTTTTAAACCCACTGAAACAAACGGAAGCAGGAGTGGTCACAAAATTCAGTGTAAGCATGGCTGCAAAAGAGTTCCACAAGACCCTCAGAATATTTCTGGCAGAGAGGGTGGGGTGGAAAGGGGGAACCGATCACAAGGATCTACATATAACCCCCTCCCTGGGGGACGGACAACAGAAAAGTGGGTGAAGGGGGACACTGGACAGTGTAAGACATGATCAAATAATAATAATTTATAAATTATCAAGGGTTCATGAGGGAGGGGGGAGCAAGAAGGGAGGGGGGAAAATGAGGAGCTGATACCAGGGGCTCAAGTGGAAAGTAAATGTTTTGAGAATGATGACGACAACAAATGTACGAATGTGCTTGACACAATGGATGGATGGATGGATTGTGATAAGCGTTGTACGAACTCCCAATAAAAAGGTTTTTTTTTAATTTCTTGTAGAACTAAAAGATCTAGAAGCAAGCTCAACACCCAACAAGTGAGCCATGACTCATTAAAGGATGGCACAGTCACACAGTGTAATATTTTCCACCCACTAGAAATCATAAAGTGAAAATTATCAAGCATTTGAAATATGATGCTAATTAGGTATTACATAGATAATATGTCTGCCTGTGGACCAAGGACAAGAGACATAATTATCATATATACTCGAGTATAAGCTGACCTAAATATCAGCCGAGGCACCTAATTTTACCACAAAAAATGGCATGAAAAATGTGCTGAAAAACTTGGCTTGTACACAAGTATATATGGTACCCCCAAATCAAAATGCCCTCCAGTGGGTGGGGAGTGTGCTCCCACAGATGGGAAAGTAGAGCAGCATGGCCACAGGAGAATCAGGACTGACGCCACAGCAGGCCTGAGAATATTACTGGTCTCTGGCCTGGGCTAGAGAAACTGTCCCCTTTGAATTGAAGAGACCCTCGTAGCTCTTCAGCAGTACCTGGGTGGCACAGTTTGTGTTATACTACTAATATAAAGGTTGTCTGTTCAAACACAATCACACCCACTACCCCGTGTAAGAAAGGTTTTACAGTCTGCTTCTGCCAAGATTACTGTCAAGAAAACCCTAAGGAGTGTCCAGTGCAAGGTGGCCGGGGACTACCACATAGTATTGTTGTCATGCTCTCCTTGCTCCCTTAGGACATACATGCGTCTGGTAAGCATGACTTGCCTCTGGAAGGGTTGTCCTATCGCCAACCCACATCGTTCAAGTAAATAATATCCAGTCACTTCAGCATTTCATCTGTACAAGTCAACAATTCATCTATTGCATTCTGAAGCCGACCTATACTTGTTTAATTCCTTTTCTCAACAGTTTTTAAATTCTATACCATTGGTTAAATTAATGACATTATCAGTAGGCTCACCTTAGGTCCCAAGGAGATGGTTTACAATGTTCTCTATCATAAAATGATAACAATGTCTCTAAAGTGACATACAAACATGTGTGTGTGTGTGTGTGTGTGTGTGTGTGTGTGTGTGAACCTGCTCTACTCGATACTCACCCTCATGAGAGACCACTGAAGACATGGGTGCTATAGGAAAGTGTGGTGAAGAAAGCAGATGGTGCCTGGCTATCAGAAAGAATAGCATTTGGAATCTTAAAGGCTTGCCTTCAAACAAGCAGCCATCTAAGCAGCACACCAGCCTATGTGACCCAAGGATTGCAAATAATAAAATAAAATCTGCAAGGAGTGGGATCAGAGCTTAAATCATGAACCTGGTTTGCCGGAGGGTAAGGGGGACAGTGGATGCCCAAAAGTCCATTTGCAGGGTCCTCACACAGATTAACCCGCCGAGGAATCTTCTCAGGCCAGAGTCCAGGGCTGTGAACAGCCTTGCTTTCAAACAACGAGCGTTGTAAAGTCGATTATGGCAGATGTAGTTAAGTTAAAGTGTAACATTTTATTGTTTGGTCTCTTTTGTGATACATTTAAAGTTATTTGAACTGTCTCAGAGGTGTTATGTCATTGGGGTCATCCTCTTGAAATTGTGTTATATGTTTTTCTGCATTTTGGTATATGAAACCCAGAACTGATGAACCTATAGGGACAGCAAGTAGAATAAGGGTATCAAGAGGGTAGAGGTGAAGGAGGGGGTGGTTAGGGTAAAAGGGAGACAATGTCAAGGAGACCAGGATGAAAAACGAATGTTTGGAACCTGATTGTGGCAGCAATTGTATGATTCTGCTTGAAGTGATTGAACTATGGAATGATATATGTATTAACTCCCAATTAATAATAAATTATTATTATTTTTAATAAATTATTTTTAAGTGATTTTAATTCTTAATATTTTCTGCTTTCCTTTTTATTGAGATTTTTCTATTTTGTTTCATCATTAGTGTTGGAGTTTTGTTTATTGTTTGTTTATTAGCTTCCTGTGTGTGTTTTATATGATTTTCTGTGTATGAAATCCTGGAGGAGTCTGTCTCTAGGGACAGGAACTAGACTGATAATTACCTAGGGACATGGCTGGGGAGTTTTGGAGGAAATGGAGCACTAAGAACAAAGAGTATGAGAAGAAAATACTCTGAGATTGATTGTACTGATGATTCCTAA